TCACTAAGATCACAACAGGCTCTCGCATAGCTGTCTGCTACACTTCGCTGCTGCCACAACCGGGGATCCAAAAGGACTTGCTCGTTCAACTTCCACAATCAGACTGACTCCAGTCAGCCATCTACCTCAACCATTTCACCCCACCTCTCAAGGAAGGTATAATCCGATTAACCTTATCCCTAGAGAGGTAATCTTGTTCCTAGAAGCCTGACGAAGATTAATTCCTCTTTCCAGGAATTAATCATTTGGCTAAACAGCTTCGGTCTTAATCCATTGACCTTTCTTAGATATGTGATCCATAGTCTGTCTACTTACATGTACTTTCAATCATCATTCGTTAAGTGTTGTAGTAATGATCCTCTAGCTAATAATTCCTACTAACTTGTGGATTACAACACCTTTATATCCATTCTATAATATGGCGACCAAAACTGAACTGCATAATCTAAATGGGGCCTAACTAGAGCAAGATATAGCTTGAGAACCACACCAGGTGTCTTGTTACTAACGCTGCGATTAATAAATCCAAGTGTCCGATTTGCCTTATTACGAACATTTATGCATCGATCCTTTTGTTTTAAATTCTTACTAATCATAACTCCCACATCCCTTTCGCAATCCGACTTCGCAATCTCAACACCATCTAGCTCGTATCTTGTAACTCTATCATCATTACCTAACCTCAGAACTTTACATTTATCAGCATTAAACTGCATCTGCCAATCCTTTGACCATTTCAAAACCCTATCTAGATCAACTTGAAGTGATAGTGAGTCCTCCTCCGAATTAATTTCCCTACCGATTTTCGTATCATCAGCAAATTTGCAAATGTTGCTACTCAAACCTGAATCTAAATCATTTATATATATTATAAACAACAGAGGTCCCAGGACAGAGCCTTGAGGCACTCCACTTACAACATTTTCCCACTCTGACTTGATTCCATTTATACTAACTCTCTGTTTCCTTTGGTATAGCCATGCCCTAATCCAGCTTAATATAGCACCCCTAATACCATGAGACTCTATCTTTTTAATCAGTCTTTCATGTGGCACTGTATCAAAAGCTTTGCTAAAGTCAAGGTACACAACATCACAATCCTTACCACTATCAACTGCCTCAACTATGCTAGAATAAAAAGATAACAAATTTGTTAAACATGAACGGCCATTTATAAAACCATGTTGCGACTCAATTATTAATTTATGTTTTTCAAGATGGAGACGAATTGTATTTGCAATTATTGATTCAAGTAACTTTCCCACAATAGACGTTATGCTAATTGGTCGATAGTTTGACGCAAGTGATCTATTTCCTTTCTTAAAAATTGGTACCACATTAGCTACCTTCCATGACTCTGGCACTCTGCCTGACTCTATTGATTTATTAAATATGGTAGACAATGGCTCGGAAAGCTCCTCTTTGCATTCTTTAAGCACCCTGGCAAACACTTCATCCGGCCCTGGGGATTTGTTTGGTTTTAGTTTTTCTAATTGTTTAATTACATCCTCCCTGGTAACTGCTAAACTCATCAACCTGTCCTCGTCCCCACCCACATAGACTTGTTCGGCAGAAGGCATATTGTTAAGTTCCTCTTTAGTAAATACAGATACAAAATATTTATTAAAAATACTACTCATCTCTTCATCACTATCTGTTATTTGACCTGTCTCAGTTTTTAATGAACCTATCCTTTCCCTAGTCTTAGTACGCTAGTCTAGTCTTACTTAGATTTCATTCCATAGATGCTTTGTTGGTATTCTGTCTAAATTTGGTGGCCTATATATAGCTATATATCTAATATATCTATCTGTGTGAAATTGTTTAAATCCATTTATTTGATATTCAGCTAATAATTCTCAATTTTCTACATTCATCCACGTTTCGGTAAGGGCAATAATATCAATTTTTTCTGTACAGAGAAGAGCATTTAACTCGTTTATTTTGTTTCTTAGACTTTATACTGTTAGTGCAATATACCCGAAGTGAATTGTTATTTTGAGTCCCTTCTCTTTCCCTGATAATTTTGTCAATTTCTCCAACAAACATACTTCATACATATTAACTGCTTCCTCATTATCAATTCCCATACCACTATCTACTAACAGTTTAAACAAATGCCTCTAACCACGGGTTCCAACGAGTTCGCAACAGCAACAACCCAGCCCTCGATAGATGCACCCCATCACGAGCATACATTTCATTTCTTCCATAGAAGTGTTCCCAGTTGTCTATGAAAGATATTGAATTTGATTTGCAATATCTTTCCACCAAGCGAATTATATTGACACCAAATGTCAATTGCCGGCTGGAAACAACCATTCATTTCCAACGCTCTTTCTTATAAGAATGCCACATATGATCGGGATTCCTTCCTTGCTCCTAACTAATTCTATGGCTAAATTTCTTTATCAGTTCCTCACTCCTAACTCGTCCAACATCATTACCCCCCCCTGCACTAGCACAAATAATGGGTTTGTTCCCATTTCCTGTCATAATATAATTCATGTTGTCAACAATATCTCCAATTCCAGCTCCTAGATAGCAGACCCTTAACCTGTTCCCCCTATCTCTGGCACAAAACGTCCTGTCTAAATAAACGTCACCTGGGAATCTCCCACAACCAAAATTCGTTTAGGTACCTCCTTAACTTTCTGAGCACTTTGGGGGGGCCTGTGCTTCGTTGCTCGTTGAAACGGATCGTTGATTTCCGTTTCAAGTGAACTGCAGGCTCACCACAGCATTCGTCTTCAAACACGGCGAGTGAATTTGATGTCCTTAGGGCGTCTGTAGGCGGTCTTGTCAAGGTCTTCATAGTCTTCAAGGTTAGATTAACAATCTTGTTAATATTGGTCTCCTTCGTTTCTTCCCGATGTTTCAGCTGTCGTACCTCCTCTCGTAGGGAATCTATCTCTGCTCTCAGAGTTTCAACTAGATTCATCAATTCCTTCACTAATCCTTCCATTATGGCTATAATAATGTTACTACAATCGGAGCTCCAGGTAACACAATCTCTCACTGTGACTGCACCTGACACACATCGAAATAGGGAGGTCCAGGGAACAGTGATCACAAATAATTAAGATTAAATTTACACTGGAATAGATACGTAGGAGAAAATTCTGCTAAAGTGCCAGATTTTCGAAAAGCTGATTTTAATAGCCTAAGAATTTTTTTAACCCAAATAGATTGAAATGTCTTGGGTATGGATTGTGGGCCGGTCTTGGAGCGAGACGTGAACCCAGCGATATGTGATGTAAAAAAAGGATTTTTATATGGAATTCATATATATTTATTATTTTAAATATCCTTATTTTTAAATATTCTTAGCAAAGCACAGGAACGTAGTAAACCATACATATTGAATGGATCGAATGTTAATGACCCACTGCTAATGATCGAATAATGACAACAACAACAACTACCCTCATCACAGTCGACTTGAGAATGGTCCAGGATGGACCTTCATATTCTTGTGTATGAATATTATTAAGTTATGTATTTTGTTATTGAAACATATAGTTTAGGAAACAAACAAATTGGAGAAGGAATAAAACATATTTTGGGATGAAATTTTATCTTTATTGCTTCCATTGCTGAATGACCTAAATACAAGGCTTGAATAAAAACAAGTTCAATGTCATTAATGTAAACACTACAAAGAAGACCCCAACTCTGTCTTTAACAGATCAGGTAAATTTGAATGATAATGTTCATTGTTAACTCTACGTTTATAAATGTTTTTCCTTTATGTGATTTAAACCAAATATCAACGATTTAGGCAATATTTTGCAGTTTTTCCACTTTTTAAATGAGTGTGTGTAATTATCTTAGTCTTGGTCATCAGTATGTGCAATTATTAAAATATTAGAAAGAAAATATATGTTTTGAGAAAATATTGAGGTCATGCAATGGGATTGTATCCGTGGACTCCCCAGGTACAAATTTTACCGGCTGGACCATGATGAGCTCAAAAGTATCTCGGAGATACCTCAGTATTTTCTCGTCCATTACATTCTTGTGATTTCTTTTGTAGGAGACTTAAAAATAGTTAAAAAACGAATCGATATGCATTCCTTGGATATACCGAATTGCAAATTGATTAAATTCTGTTATTGATATCAGTTCCTGAGATTTGGATAAAAGGTTAAACAAAAATTTTCATTATCCATGAAAACATTCACAGAAAATAAATAAATATGGGTGAATAAAGTAAAATAAAAACAAATTGGTCCCAGGGATACTTTTATTACATAATATTTTTGGCCATGATGGCATTATGTTCTCCAAAATTTTCTTAATTATGTTTTGTGTAATAATAAGGGAGTTTTTATTTATTAGGTAACAGTTGTCAGAGAGATGTCAAATCTTAGTAATATGGGATTTCTAAGCAACTCCCCCCTCTCCCCCTCTCCCTAAATTTCTCCCCCTCCCTAGATTTTTTTATAAAAACTTGTACCACCTGGGAGCCGGTCGGCCGAGCGGACAGCACGCTGGACTTGTGATCATGTGGTCCTGGGTTCGATCCCAGGCGCCAGCGAGAAACAATGGGCAGAGTTTCTTTCACCCTATGCCCCTGTTACCTAGCAGTAAATAGGTACCTGGGTGTTAGTCAGCTGTCACGGGCTGCTTCCTGGGGGTGGAGGCCTGGTCGAGGACCGGGCCGCGGGGACACTAAAAATCCCCGAAATCATCTCCAAATAACCTCCACCAGGAATATACATGATGATTTAACAAATCTATACATCATCTGGTGCACTAAAATTTGTTTCAGTTCTCTAGAACGGAAACTATATATAAAGTCTAGCTATATATAAAAGCACTCATATTTCTTGAACGATATATGCTGGCACCTTCATGTGTCTATTCATATATCCAAGATAGCAGAAAAGTTTCTCACTGTGGTGCAATTTTTTGCACCACAGTTTTGCAATGTTTCTCACTCACAAATTGGTGCACTAAAATTAGTTTCAGTTCTCTACAGCTATATATAAAAGGTCTCATATTTCGGGAACGATATATGTATGCACCTTCATGTGTCTATTCATATTTCCAAGATAGCAGAATCTTTTTCCACACTCGGTACACTCGTAAAGCTTCTCACGTGCATGTTTCATTGTACCACTGTGATCAATGATATTTTTTACACAAAAAATATTATTGTCATTATTTAATATTTCAGCTGAATGCACCAACCTGTGTTTGTTCAGATTTGTCAAATTATAAAAACGTGTTCCACAGTCGGGACACTGAGGTTTTTCACCAGTATGTACCCTGCTGTGAATCTTCAGAGATCTTTTATGTCTGAATCTTTTCCCACATTCTGGACACTCTTGAGTTTTATCACCCGTACTCACCGTCATTTGTTTATTTATTTTCCTCTCTTTACTGAATCTTTTGCAACACTCTGGGCACTTAAAAGGTTTCTCACCAGGATACATCATGTGGTTATCCAATTTCCTCTCATCACTGAATCTTTTTCCACAGTCTGGACACTCGAAAGGTTTCACACCTGTACACTTCATTATGTGTTTGTTCATGTCCCTTGGGTTGAAGAATCGTTTCCAACACTCTGGACACTCGTAAGGTTTCTCACCTGTACACATCTGTAAACACATCATGTGTTTATCCATTTTCCTCTCATTAATGAATCTTTTTCCACACTCTGGACACTCGAAAGGTTTCTCACATGTATACAACATCTCGTGGTTGGTATTTCCAAGATAGCAGAAACTTTTTCCACACTCGTAAAGCTTCTCACCAGTATCACGTGCATGTTTCATTGTATCACTGTGATCAATTATATTTTTTACACAAAAAATATTATTGTCATTATTTAATGGTATTTCAGCTGAATGCAGCAACCTGTGTTTGTTCAGATTTGTCAAATTATCAAAACGTGTTCCACAGTCGGGACAGTCGTGAGGTTTTTCACCAGTATGTACCATTCTGTGAATCTTCAGAGATCTTTTATTTCTGAATCTTTTCCCACATTCTGGACACTCTTGAGTTTTCTCACCCGTACACACCGTTATGTGTTTATTTAGTTTCCTCTTTTTACTGAATCTTTTGCAACACTCTGGGCACTCAAAAGGTTTCTCACCAGGATACATCATGTGGTTATCCATTTTCCTCTCATCACTGAATCTTTTTCCACAGTCTGGACACTCGTAAGGTTTCACACCTGTACACTTCATTATGTGTTTGTTCATGTCCCTTGGGTTGACGAATCGTTTCCAACACTCTGGACACTCGTAAGGTTTCTCACCTGTACACATCTGTAAACACATCATGTGTTTATCCATTTTCCTCTCATTAATGAATCTTTTTCCACACTCTGGACACTCGAAAGGTTTCTCACATGTATACAACATCTCGTGGTTATTCATATTTCTATATTTATTGAATCTTTTCCTACACTCGGTGCACTCCGAAAATAAAGAGATGGCAGATTCAGATCCCTGGGATTTACGTTGCCAGCTCTATGGTATTTATGTTGTTGGCTCTCTGGTATATAAAACAGGTGTGGGGACGCAGGTCACGTGTAAGATCTTTGGTCACTGGTAAGTTGGGCAGACCGGGATGAGACGCTGGAGCTGTTGTTGTTGTTGTTTTAGATTTAATTACTCTAAACGAAAGGTACATATAGCACAGGCTATAGTGAGCCGGCAATTGAGTTCGGTTACTCGCGATAACCTTGTTACTGTGAAGTTTCAGTCAAAGTTTTAAATGGAAGTGGGGCTTTCTCCTTTTCTCCCGTTTCTTTTCAGCTTCAATTTAGCACACTAGTTTTAGTTTTAATAGCATTATCTTGGTGTCGGATGTACATTCACAGCGTTCACTAGTATCTTCCATTCTTCAACTACTTTTCTAACCATTTAAGATGCTGTGGATTTCCATCTAATCCACGTGATCTTGTTGGTTGAATTCTGAGGTTAGGTAATGATGATAGGGTTACAAGATACGAGCTAGATGGTGTTGAGATTGCGAAGTCGAATTGCGAAAGGGATCTGGGAGTTATGATTAGTAAGAATTTAAAACAAAAGGATCAATGCATAAATGTTCGTAATAAGGCAAATCGGACACTTGGATTTATTAATCGCAGCGTTAGTAACAAGACACCTGGTGTGGTTCTCAATCTATATCTTGCCCTAGTTAGGCCCCATTTAGATTATACAGTTCAGTTTTGGTCGCCATATTATAGAATGGATATAAATTCACTTGAACGTGTCCAGCGTAGGATGACTAAGTTAATTCCCCAAATTAGAAATCTTTCATATGAAGAAAGATTAACAAAGCTTAAGTTGCATTCACTGCAAAGGCGAAGAGTTAGGGGTGACATGATAGAGGTTTACAAGTGGCTGAATGGACATAACAAAGGGGATATTAAGAACATAAGAACAAAGGCAACTGCAGAAGGCCTATTGGCCCATACGAGGCAGCTCCTATTTATAGCCCCCCAATCCCACTCATATACATGTCCAACCCATGCTTGAAAAAATCGAGGGACCCCACCTCCACAATGTTACGCGGCAATTGGTTCCACAAATCAACAACCCTGTTACTGAACCAGTAACAGTAACAATTTTACCCAAGTCTTTCCTAAATCTAAACTTATCCAATTTATACCCATTGTTTCGTGTTTTGTCTTGTGTTGATACTTTTAATACCCCCTTTGTTATGTCCATTCACCCACTTGTGAACCTCTATCATGTCACCCCTAACTCTTCGCCTTTCCAGTGAATGCAACTTAAGCTTTGTTAATCTTTCTTCATATGAAAGATTTCTAATTTGGGGAATTAACTTAGTCATCCTACGTTGGAAACGTTCAAGTGAATTTATATCCATTCAATAATACGGCGACCAAAACTGAACTGCATAATCAAAATGGAGCCTAACCAGAGCAAGATATAGCTTAAGAACCACACCAGGTGTCTTGTTACTAACGCTTCGATTAATAAATCCCAGTGTCCTATGCGCCTTACTACGAACATTCATGCATTGATCCTTTTGTTTTAAATTCTTAATAATCATAACTCCCAGATCCCTATCGCAATCCGACTTCGCAATCTCAACACCATCTAGCTCGTATCTTGTAACTCTATCATCATTACCTAGCCTCAGAACTTTACATTTATCAGCATTAAACTGCATTTGCCAATCCTTTGACCATTTCAAAACCCTATCTAGATCAACTTGAAGTGATAGTGAGTCCTCCTCCGAATTAATTTCCCTACCGATTTTCGTATCATCGGCAAATTTGCAAATGTTGCTACTCAAACCTGAATCTAAATCATTTATATATATTATAAACAACAGAGGTCCCAGGACAGAGCCCTGAGGTACTCCACTAACAACATTATCCCACTCTGACTTAACCCCATTTATACTAACTCTCTGTTTCCTTTGGAATAGCCATGCCCTAATCCATGTTAATATAGCACCCCCAATACCATGAGCTTCTATTTTTTTAATTAGTCTTTCATGTGGCACTGTATCAAAAGCTTTGCTAAAGTCAAGGTACACAACATCACAATCCTTACCACTATCAACTGCCTTAACTATGCTGGAATAAAAAGTTAGCAAATTTGTTAAACATGAACGGCCATTTGTAAAACCATGTTGCGACTCATTTATTAATTTATGTTTTTCAAGATGGAGACGAATTGTATTTGCAATTACTGATTCAATTAACTTTCCCACAATAGACGTTAGACTAATTGGCCGATAGTTTGACGCAAGTGATCTGTCTCCTTTCTTAAAAATTGGTACCACATTAGCTACCTTCCATGACTCTGGCACTCTGCCTACTCTATTGAATTATTAAATATGGTAGACAGTGGCTCGGAAAGCTCCTCTTTGCATTCTTTAAGCACCCTGGCAAACACTTCATCCGGCCCTGGGGATTTGTTTGGTTTTAGTTTTTCTAATTGTTTAATTACATGCTCCCTGGTAACTGCTAAACTAGTCAACCTGTCCTCATCCCCACCCACATAGACTTGTTCGGCTGAAGGCATATTGTTAAGTTCTTCTTTAGTAAATACAGATATAAAATATTTGTTAAAAATACTACTCATCTCCTTGTCATTATCCGTTATTTGACCTGTCTCAGATTTTAATGGACCTATCCTTTCCCAAGTCTTAGTTCGATATAACTGAAAAAACCCTTTAGGATTTGACTTTGCTTGCTCTGCTATGCGAACTTCATAGATTCTTTTTGCTTTCCTAATCTCTTTTTTAACATTTCTAACCATAAGAACATAAGAACATAAGAACAAAGGTAACTGCAGAAGGCCTATTGGCCCATACGAGGCAGCTCCTATTCTATAACCACCCAATCCCACTCATATACTTGTCCAACCCGTGCTTGAAACAATCGAGGGACCCCACCTCCACAATGTTACGCGGCAATTGGTTCCACAAATCAACAACCCTGTTACTGAACCAGTATTTACCCAAGTCTTTCCTAAATCTAAACTTATCCAATTTATATCCATTGTTTCGTGTTCTGTCCTGTGTTGATACTTTTAATACCCTATTAATATCCCCCCGGTTATGTCCATTCATCCACTTGTAAACCTCTATCATGTCACCCCTAACTCTTCGCCTTACCAGTGAATGCAACTTAAGCTTTGTTAATCTTTCTTCATATGAAAGATTTCTAATTTGGGGAATTAACTTAGTCATCCTACGCTGGACACGTTCAAGTGAATTTATATCCATTCTATAATATGGCGACCAAAACTGAACTGCATAATCTAAATGGGGCCTAACTAGAGCAAGATATAGCTTGAGAACCACACCAGGTGTCTTGTTACTAACGCTGCGATTAATAAATCCAAGTGTCCGATTTGCCTTATTACGAGCATTTATGCATTGATCCTTTTGTTTTAAATTCTTACTAATCATAACTCCCAGATCCCTTTCGCAATCCGACTTCGCAATCACAACACCATCTAGCTCGTATCTTGTAACTCTATCATCATTACCTAACCTCAGAACATTACATTTATCAGCATTAAACTGCATCTGCCAATCCTTTGACCATTTCAAAACCCTATCTAGATCAACTTGAAGTGATAGTGAGTCCTCCTCCGAATTAATTTCCCTACCGATTTTCGTATCATCGGCAAATTTGCAAATGTTGCTACTCAAACCTGAATCTAAATCATTTATATATATTATAAACAACAGAGGTCCCAGGACAGAGCCTTGAGGCACTCCACTTACAACATTTTCCCACTCTGACTTGATTCCATTTATACTAACTCTCTGTTTCCTTTGGTATAGCCATGCCCTAATCCAGCTTAATATAGCACCCCCAATACCATGAGACTCTATTTTTTTAATCAGTCTTTCATGTGGCACTGTATCAAAAGCTTTGCTAAAGTCAAGGTATACAACATCGCAATCCTTACCACTATCAACTGCCTCAACAATGCTAGAATAAAAAGATAACAAATTTGTTAAACATGAACGGCCATTTATAAAACCATGTTGCGACTCAATTATTAATTTATGTTTTTCAAGATGAAGACGAATTTTATTTGCTATTATAGATTCGAGTAACTTTCCCACAATAGACGTTAGGCTAATTGGTCGATAGTTAGACGCAAGTGATCTATCTCCTTTCTTAAAAACTGGTATCACATTAGCAACTTTCCAAAACTCTGGCACTCTGCCTGACTCTATTGACTTATTAAATATGGTTGACAGTGGGTCACAAAGCTCCTCTTTGCATTCTTTAAGCACCCTAGCAAACACTTCATCCGGCCCTGGGGATTTGTTTGGTTTGAGTTTTACTATTTGTTTAAGAACATCCTCCCTGGTAACTGCTAAACTCGTCAACCTGTCCTCGTCCCCACCCACATAGACTTGTTCGGCTGAAGGCATATTGTTAAGTTCCTCTTTAGTAAATACAGATACAAAATATTTATTAAAAATACTACTCATCTCTTCATCACTCTCTGTTATTTGACCTGTCTCAGTTTTTAATGGACCTATCCTTTCCCTAGTGTTAGTACGATATAACTGAAAAAACCCTTTAGGATTTGTCTTTGCTTGCCCTGCTATGCGAACTTCATAGTTTCTTTTTCCTTTCCTTATCTCTTTTTTAACATTTCTAACCAGTTGTACGAATTCCTGTTCTAAAGTGACCTCCCCTTTCTAATCCTTTTGTACCAAGCTCTCTTTTTACCTATAAGGTTCTTCAAATTCTTTGTTATCCACTTTGGGTCATTAGTATTCGATCTATTCAATTTGTATGGTATACTACGTTCTTGTGCTTTGTTTAGAATATTCTTAAATAAGTTATATATTGAATCCACATCGAAATCCCCATTTAAGTCACCTATTGCTGGGTTCATGTCTCGCTCCAAGACCGGCCCAC